TTAGTGTTGCCTTTTTGCTTTTTGAAAGGTGTTGTTTGAAAACCAGTTTCCAACTCAGTTTTTAATTTTGATCAAGCCATATTTATATATTTTAATTTCATAGTTTATGAATTTTATGTTCTCCAAAGTGTTTTTTTGGTTTGAATCTTTTTGTTTTTGTTTTTGTTTTTTTTTGAGACATGGTCTTGCTATGTTGCCCAGGTTGGCCTTCAATTCATGATTTTCCCACCTTAGGCTTCTGGGATTACAGGTGTGTCCCACTATGCTCAGCTATGGTTTGGATCTTAAATGTCTCCCAAAAGCTCATGTGTTAAAGGTTTGGTCCCAGCAGATGATGCTATTGGTAGGCGGTAGAAACTTTAGGAGATAGGGCCTAGTTAGAGGGTGAAGGTCACTGAGGGTGTGCCCTTGACCCTTACCCATTTCCCCAATCAGTCAGTCTTGTTTCTGTCTCTCCATCTCCCCATTCCTTCCTGTCCTTATTGGCCATCATGAGGTGAGCAGCTTTGCCCCACCACACACTCCCTGCCATCATCTTCTGCCTTACCACAGGCCCAAACTGATGGAGCCAAGTGACCATGGACTTGGTCCAAGCCAAATTAAATCTTTCCTCCCTTTAAGTTGTTTTTCTCAGGCATCTTGTCACAGTGGAAAACTGACTAATACAGTCAAGCTATCATAGGTCTTTATTCAATTTAGTTGATCCTCATCTATCTCTTAGCCAATACCAAACTGTTTTGATTACCATAGTAACATAATAGGCCTTAATATAAGGTAGAGCAATGTGTCCTCTTTATTCTTCCTTTTTAAGGTCACTTTAGCTATCTTTGGGCCTATTTGTTGTTTTTGTTGTTGAATTTTAGAGTTATTTTATTTTTCTCTCCAGAAAATCTTACTGGAATTTTATTAAGAATTGCATTTAGCCTACAGATCAATTTCAGGAGAATTGACATCTTTACTATCTTTTGACATCTTTACCATGTTGCTTCTACTTATTTAGGTCTTCCTTTAATTCTTTTCATCAGCATCTTGTAATTGTCAGTGTGTAGATCCTTAACTGTTTTCTTTTTACCCAAACATTTCATTTTCTTTCTGTGGTCATAAGTGATTGTTTCTTCTTAACTTTAATTTCCATGTGTTCGTTGTTAGCATATGGAAATGTGATTTTCATAATTTTAATTTGTGTGCTATAACTTGCTTATTAGTTTAAAGGTGTTTTTTATAAATTCCTAGACTATCATATAATGCCATCTGCATATGACTATTTTTATTTGTTCCCTTCTGATCTGTGCTTTTATTTCTTTTTCTTGCCTTATTACAGTGGTTAGAACTTCTAGTACTGTGCTGACTGCAACTGCGAGAGTGACATCCTTACCTTTTGCTCCCTCTTAAGGGAAAGCATTCAGTCTCTCTCTGTTAAGTGGAATATTAATAGCAATTTTTTATACATTCTCTTTATAAAATTGAGGAAGCTGTCCTGTATTTGTAGTTTGCTGAGTTTTTATTGTGAATACAAGTTGCATTTTGCTAAGTGCTTTTTCTGAGTCCATTGATACAATCACATGATGTTTTCTTCTTTAGCCTCTTGATATTGATTGTTGAATATTAAACCAGCCTTACCCACCTAGAATGACTCCCACTTGGTGGTGATACATAATTGTTTTTATACTTTTCTATATTTAATAGTAATACTTTGGTAAGTATCTTTTAATCTATGTTTATGAGAGATTTTGGTCTGTAGTTTTCTGGTTTTGTATTGTCCTTGTCTGATTTTGGAGTCAGGATAATATTGACCTCATAAAATGAGTTGGAAAGTGTTCCTCTTCTGTTTTTTTTGAGGGGGGTTGTGTAAAACTTCATTTTTAATTCTTCCTTAAATGTTTGTTAGGATTCTCCAGGGAAATCATTTGGGATGGAAATTTCTTTTTCTGTTTTTAATTAAAAATTCAAATTTCTTTAAGGGTTATAGGACCATCTAGGCTGTTTCATCTTGGTTGAGTTTTGGTCATTTATGCCTTTTAAGAAATTGCTTTATTTCTTCTGTGTTGACAAGTTTATGAACATAGTATTTCCTTATGTCATTTTAATAGCTGCAGGATCTCTAGTGATATCACTTGGTTCATTTCTATAATTAATTTGTGTCTTCTTTTATCTTTATCAGTCTTGCTAAAGATTTATTCGTTTTACTGATCTTCTTAATCCTAGCAATGTTTTCAATTTTATTACTTTCCTCTTCTGTTCTGCCTACTTTATGTTTATTTTGATACAATGTTCCCATTTCCCTAAGCCTTTGCTCTGTTCCCTCTAAAATCTTCAGGGGGAATTCTAGCATCTCATTTCATCAACTATAGGCCATTCCCAGATGCTGAAGTAACAAGGTAAATCCTGAGGCATAGGTAAAGTACCCTTGTTGGCCCGATCAACCTGTTTATTCTCACCAGTTCTTGTGCTTAGAAACCAATGCCTTGTGTGCCCTCCAGGTTCCTGTTGATACGGTGAGGCAAAGCTGCCAGTGTGTGCCTCTTTTCCCAGGAGCTAGCCTTGTGATGATCTCTGGATCTTGCTGGAATTTAACTTCCTAGGGCCCTAGAGGCAATGAGTATTGGTGGTGGTTGGTCCTGAAAAGAATAGACAACTCCTGTCTTACCTTCCTGTCCTCCGTTTTTGAAAAAGCAGAGAGTTTCACTGTAACATTTCTATGTGTATATGTTTTATATTCTGAATTATATTCTCCACTTTTCTTCTTTCTACCATAGTCCTCTTCCTTTTTTTATGCTAATCTCAACAGATTTTAAAATTCTATATTCATTCTTGCATAGATAGTACATCAACCACATTCACTTTCTTCCTTCCTTTACCTTCCTCCTGTTAGTTAGTGCTGTCCCCTTAGCATGACCTGTTTTTCATTCTTTTTTTTTCTTTTTTTTTTTTTGTAGTACTGGGCCTACACCTTGAGCCATTCCGCCAGCCCTTTTTTGTGAAGGGTTTTTCTGAGCACTAGTTGCCCGGGCTGGCTTTGAACCCAGTCTTCCTGATCTCTGCCTCCTGAGTAGTTAGGATTATAGGTGTGAGCCACCAATGCCTGGCTCATTCTTGTCCTAGCATCTGTTCATTGTTCAAAGGGATTTTTGCCTTGGTATTATACCTGTACATGCATTGTACTTAAAGCAATGTATCCCCCCTCCACTGTACTTCCTTACTCTTTCCCCCTGTCCTGTGTTGTTTAAAAGTTTTCAGTGTGTTTCCTTGTCTAGGGGGTTGGTAGTAGTGTGGGGAGGGGGGGATATAAGGAAAGGGTGTAGGAATGTGAATATGGTAGAAATATTATGTACTCATGTATGAAACTGGAAAAAAGAGACATGTTGAAGCTATTCTAAGAATGGTGAGGGGGGATAAAGAAAAACAGGGGAGGGGATGAATTTATGATATATTGTAAACACTTTTGTAAATGTCACAGTGTACTCCCAGTACAATAATATGATAGTAATAATAATAAAAAAGAATAGCCACCCTACATAAAGCCATTGAAATATCTTTGTACTAGAGGATGCTAGTTTTTCCTAGAAGGTAGGAAGGGCTGTTTCTGATGTGAAGAAATGCTCAGAGATGTTAGAAGCTCAAGATTCTTAGATTGGTATCTATCCAAAGGCTCCCATCTCAAGTCTCAAGTTCCCTCTCCTTTCCAACCAGTACCTTAACCTTAGCATAAGCTACTTGATATAAATGCACCTTTACCTTGCAGGAGATTCCACAACCTCTACATTCAGGCCTCAACCATGTCCCTCAGAGCATCATAAAATAAGGATTCCTGGGCTGGTGGAATGGCTCAAGTGGTAGAGCACCTGCCTAGCAAGCATGAAGCCCTGAGTTCAAGCCCTAGTACCACCATAATAATAATAATAATAATAAATTAGGATTCCTTTAAGGCCACCATAGAAACTTTCTGACCTTCTAACCTTGCTGTTAGTTGAGATTTCAAGGCATGTAAGTAGAGGTTCTCTCCCTTTCCCTTCCGCCCCCCATTTCTCTTTGTGTGAGTGTGTGTGTGTGTGTGTGTGTCTCTCTCCTTTCTGTTTTGTTTTGATGTTTCATCAGCACAGTCAGAAAAAACTGTCTTACCCTACAAAGTTGAATTCACCATGATGCCATCATCTCTCCATCAGCTGCCTCAGCCACTTGACCTCCCACAGCCATGCAGTCCCTTAATGTTTGACACCTTGAGTGATCGTGATGCATGGCATGCCACCAATTAGCAGCTTCAGGGTGGCCTGTAGAGGTCACCTTCCTGGGCCACAGGGAAATACAGGAGCTGGACTGAGCAGAGGAGAAACAGAAAGCAATCAGCATAGGAAGTCTTGAGAAGACAACAGTAGACTATTCCCCCTCACCAGAGGATGGCACGTCTGGTGGGAAGACAAGGCATCTAATAGCTGGACTGCAGGGAGCAGGTCAGAGACCCGAAGGAGCTCATGACTCACTGTGCAAGAGTGCCCAGGCAGGAGCTTAAGACAGGATTCCTCTGTTACAGAAAATCCTTGAACTATGTTACCAGATTCTGGAACTACTACAAGCAAACTATGTAGGATAGTTCCTTAAAATTATATTGTTGAAGCCCTACAGTATATATGTGTCCTTGCTAAATTGGTGACATTTTCTGTTGCATGGTTTTTATAATATACTTCAAATTCTATAACTACATTATTGGTTTTAGTAAGCAGAATACAGAACAGAAAATGGAAAAGGCTTATTTTTCTCTAGCTGCTAACAGGGTTAGTGTCATCATGCAAACACTACTAATAGGGTGAGCACATACATGCACACACATGCCTCACCTGCTTCCAGGACTCAGTTTTAAAGGGATATTTACGTATGTATAAGGCAGCATGCTGACCATGCCTCATTGTTTATTTTAACAAAGAAAGATTGTCTTCAATGGCAAGAATCCAGACCCTTTAATCTTGCACTAACAGCACTCCTCTCTCCCTCTTCTTCCCTCACAGGAGGACAACTGTTAGTTTTGTGGCTTACTGCTGCTCCACCCAGTGTCTGCAGACTTTTGACCTGCTGAGTTGATAAACACTCAGGAACCTCCAGAGCACTGCCAGCATGACCCTGTGGCTGTCTGCATGTTGCACACTGTGTGCGCCAGGACCAGGAGAGTCCAACAAGGCCAGAACAGGTCCTTCTATCCAGTCCTGTCCAATGTGGGGACATGCAGAACTCTCTGGAAATGTCATAATTGGGCGGGCTTCACAGCAAAAATGCCTTCACCCTTCCCCTAAGTTGGAATATATCCTCTCCCAAATTAAGGACATTTTGTCTTCTGTGTTTTTTCTTTTTATGTGAGTGTGTCTCCTACGTAAGCTATTTAAGTTTGATGAGCTTCCCTACATATAATTCAAAGCAAGTTGCAATCCTTGAAGAACTCTTAATTTGATAATGTAGCCAAATTAACTTTTGAATGATACACCTTTAGTGATACTTCTCCTCTCTCTTTTTCCCTGGAGGATCATTTTCCTGAGAGATTATTCTCCATGGTTTCTCCAGTGAAAACTTGTCAGTTTTTAGTCTCAGCAAACCCCATGGCCTCAACAGCCCTGCATAGCAGGGTGGAGTCCCTAAGTTGGCGGCAAAGTCAGGCTCCTTTGGAGGCACCACAGGATCCCAGAGCACACACCCTCTGGAAAGTTACAGCCCTATTTGTAAGTTTGGCAATATATTAAGAGACTTTTAAGAGGGATTTTAAAAACAAAATTGTAGATGATAATGAAATATATTCTTATTTTTAAGAACTACAAAAAAATAGGTTTTGAAATTTTTTTACTTTTAAGTTTTTTTTTCTTTTATAAATAAGAATTTTGAGGAATATTTGGGCCTTTAAAAGATCTGATCATTTTCTTTGTAGATTTAAGCACTTTCCACATAATAAGTAAGGAAACACACACCAACATAAGACCTCCCTTGTTCTTGTTAGATGGGTTTAGAAATAAACTTAGACTGATTTTCAGATATCAGTGTTCCATGTGAAAAACTGACATCAGCAGCTTTAGCTACTAGTTTTTACAAGTACGTCCTATCTGCATTTGCCGCATACCTGGTATATGAAACTATTCATTTTGAACCTTGACTTCTTATTTCTTAAGCTGTTGTCCAGATATCACTGAGAAAATTCAGGGAAAGCAGGTCCAAATTCAGCCTTGTATTTTTTACAAAAAAAAAAAAAGTCCATAAACAGAAAGCCTGCACACCTACCCCTACCTGAGAGGCAGCTTCCTTATGGAGGAGTCATATATTTGATTTTCCTATATAAGGCTCTTACTTTGCTGCCAGATGTTCATCTGGTTGCTATAAAGTGATTCTTTCAAAAGTTGTTTTGTTTTTAATGTTAGTGATACAGTTTTCCATAAGACAGAACCAGAAGGAGAACCAAAAAGAGCTGCTTGGTTAGAAGAATTAATTTCAAAATTTTTCAGATTTGTCAAAAATGTGGTTGATAACATTTTATTAGCCACCTTAGTTCTTTAATGCTTGGCTCTAACAGTGCCAAAAATCCTACACTGTTACTGAGAAACGTGTGATCTCTTTACAGTCATACCACCTGCTGCCCAGAAAGCAGACTCCACGTAGAATGGTGAGGGCAGAAAGTTACCATGTGTGCCAACTGAATTTGCACTGCTCTTACTTCCTCTTGTCCCTTTCATAATTTGGCCTGTTCAGCCTTAACATTTCAAAGGCTTAAGAGGATAACAGGAACTAAAGGTCTGTATCAAAATGCACCACTTCTTTCATCCTTTGGAATAATTGAAGTTTCAGCATAACCCTACATGTGTATAAGTTGGCGGGTGAAAAATGTGGCATGAAACTTCACAGATGTGCTTCAACTCTAAGTGACTGCTACCTAGCATGTAAGTGACAGTAAATACAGTGCTACATCTTTCTGTTTCAACCTCAACCATGTTGTGTCTTAAAATGGAACTATGAAGTGTGCTAGCCTGATATTCAGAATTTCTCATTGAGATACGGTATGTGGTACTTTTGTTCTAACTTGTTTGAAATTTTACAAAGATGCTTATGTTCCAAACATTCTCTCTACCTGTTATAAACTACAGTGTATTGATCAGCGGTGACCTGGGCCAACAGCCTTCCAGTTATCTCACACCTAACCCTTGTATGTAGAAGCTGGGCTAAATTGATGGGAAATGGAACTTATTGTGGTTTCCCTGGTGCTGTTCATTATGGAAATTTTGTGCTGGAGTCACTTATGTCATTCTTAACCTTTTGATATTATAAAGAATGTTGTCTACTGAAGAAAACTTGCTCACACACTGCGTATTTGAATTGTGTCCAAGACTTTGCAGAAAAGTGAACTTAAAATTATTGTATATGTTGTGCTCTTGCTCTCTCTTTCCCTCTCCCCCTCTCACTCCTTCTGTCCCTCTTTCTTTCTCCCTCTTCTTCCCTCTCTCTCCTTCCACATGTTAGGCAAGCATTAAGCATCTTCCACTGAGGTGTGTTTGAAACCCCAGCACTATTTGGGGTTTTTTTTTTGTTTTTTTTTTTTGAGCAAGTTATTCTAGGTAGAAAAATACTTCATGCAATAATTGTAATGAAAAAAAAGTGAGCCATTTGGAAAGTGTAGTCTGTTCGGGTAAGCTTCCATCTGTGAGCTCATGTGTGGTTGTTTAGTGCCAAGTTTTAAAATCCAGGCTAGCCTCATGAAGCAGGCCTTCCAGCGATGCAGGACCAATGGGTCTATTTTAGTGGGGTACCCTATCAGTGTTCTTCAGCATGCCTAATTTTTACCATACCAAAAATCTTGACTCTATTACATTGTGTAAATGAAATATTGCATCTTCAAAAAAAATTTTTTTGCACGTAGTGCTGGGGATTGAACCTATGCCTTGTGCATAGCAGACAAGCACTGAGCCACACTTAAGCCATGAAATTTGGGGAGGTGTGTTTTCTTGGGAGGGGGTTGCAGTGCTGCAGTTTAAACTCAGGGCCTTATGCTTGTTAGGCAACTGCTATACCACTTGAGCCACACTCTCAGCCCCAATTAATATATATATTTAGTACACTTAAGAATAGTTTTAAGTACACAAGAGAGCTGAGCTGGTGGAGGATCCACTCTGGCTAATAGAGAAGAATGGTGAATTTTGTTATCTGGTTCTTTCTTGTGGAAAAATGAGAAGTACATTAAACACCCTCTAAAACCTCATCAGACTTGTTTAATGTCCATCCTACATACTATTTCTGGGGACTTTGCAAGTCAGTTTTATTAATACTGGAGTTATATTTCTCTTTCCTGAATTGAATTAAAACATCAGACATTCTTATTTTTACTGTAAAAACCCTACAATATATTACTTCAGAAATCAAAGCATTTTATTCAGATGATGTATACACATGGCTTTCTAACTGGACCTCACTGTTGCAATCTGACGTAATTAAATATTGAGATGTCAAGTCATTTCATAGGCTCATAAATGTATTCTTTTTAGGAATATCATTTAAATGTTTCCTTACATTACCCTGCTCATTTTTTATGGTTTTATTTTTGTTATACCCATTCACTCTGCCTACTCCCACTAAGGCTCTGCTAATTTCTCCAGGAACTCAGCAAATATATTGCCTTATCTTCAGAGAGGAGTTTCATAAAGTCTATACTCTTGAAAATAGCTCCATGTTTTTCTAAAAATCATTCAAGTCTGACTGTCCCTCCCCAGGAAGTACCTCCCTATGTCACCAGCTAATCTGAAAGTGACCCATGTATCTCTAGGAAAGGACTTGGTCACAGGCAAGTGACTGTTACCCTTAGTCAAGGAAAGAGAGTGCGTCACAATATGAGATGTACTGTTTGAAGCATGGCTTATGGTCCCTTACACTTCAGAGACTGAAAAGTACTGGCAGCACAGTATCGTGGTTGGGTAGTTAGTAGGAGGAGCATTTGGAGATTATATGTAATTAAGAGACAGGGATTGCTGGGGGATTTCACTCACTCACCTTACATTAAAGTAGGGATCATCCTTGCTACCTGTGTTAAAGAATATCAAGTTTTACTTCTCATAGCAAATTCTGCCTTCTGAAAAATGATGGCAACATTCACTTAGAGTGTGGCCATTGCCTAAAATCCATATTGTATCCAGTTTGGTTCACATGTTTAGAGAATAATTGCTGTTTATAGATTGTGCTTGAACTATGTGAATGCTCCAAAATGACAATGGTAGTGTCTTTATTGTTTTAAACAAACTCACTTTGTTAGGAAAGAAAAGGGGGCTTTAGATAGGTAAGTCATGACCAGCAAAAATGGTAGAGGAAGGACCTCTGAAAAATCTCCACCTCCCATAAAAGCAAGGAGAAAAATTGGCCCAAAATGTCAGAATGAACATTTTTCAGGATTCTGGAAATTACTAAAAGCTGCAACAACCCAAGGCATATTTATTTACTTAAGAGAAATGACTGAATTGCAGGATGAACAGTGAGCTTTGTGGTGGTTTACCTTGCCCTATTTCCATTCTCCCTTTCCGTCTCCACTGTGTCCTTGAAAGCCAACAGTAAAGGTGAGAAAGCAGGCTGGAAGATGCTGAAGAGGGAAAAATGGGGTTGGACCTATTCAAATTATTTCCAGAGAATTGTCATTTGATCTATATGACAGGTCCCTGGAAGATCTCTCTTGTAAGACTGTCTTTATTTTACTGCTAGGTATGAAAAAGCTTTTTCTCTGGAATATTTGCTGAAAAAGACCCAGAGACAACTGATTAACATGGCTGCTTAAAGCAGTAGATAACCCTGGGAGCAAACAATAGACTAACCAAAAACTTAAAGCCTGGAGAATGAAGTGTTCAGAGAGATTTTGAAAATCTCTGACATTCCTGGGGGTTAAGTGGTCATGCACCTATGTAGGAGTTTGCACATGGTAAGGGTCATACTCTTACTTAGGAAAGACCTCCTAACACCCTAAGCCCTCCAGCCTTGAGTCTCTGCCCAGGCAGAGAGAGGAGCCAAAGGCGTCACCTTTCTGGTTGAGTTGAAGGAGTGTCCCAACACACACACACAGCCTCAGCACAGACTGAGAGACTTTCTGATTTTAAGTAGGGAAATCTGTCCAATTATTTGCTGATCACTAAACTACCTGAATAGAAACTTAATGTCCATGTGTTACAAAAAATAGAACCTGTACCAAAGGATTCAGAAGAGTCACTGAAACAAAAAACAGCAAATACAGCAAACTTTTAGCAGGGAGGTATAAGTTCCAAAGGTGAAAACACAATAATTGAAAAAATTGACAAGAGACACTCAACAATAGATTTGAGTGAGTAGAAGAAAGAATCAGCAAACTTGAGTATAACTCTATTGAATTTTTTTTAATCTGCTGTGAGGTACAGGAAAACAAAAAGAATGAAGAAAAATGAATAGAGCCTCACAGACCTGTGGGACATCATCCAGCATACCAATTTATGCATAATCTGAGTCTTAGAAAGGGAGGAGAGAAACAGGCAGAATACTTGGAATAGGTAATGGCCAGAGACTTTGAAATGTAATGAAACAACACGGATTTACACACTCAAGCTCAATGAATATAGGAAAAATTCAGAGATCCTACTGTGCAAAGAGAAGCTTGAAATGAGGAAGAAGTGACTTGTGTACCAGATATCCTTGTCAGAAGCAATTGAGGCTAGAAGGCAGTAGGATAACGTATTTTAAAGTGCAGAAAGCAAATGATTATCAAATAAGAATTCTATGTCCAACAAACTATTCTCAAAAATAAAAGGTATGG